CCAATACACACCGTACGCTACTTCATTATCATTGGTTGGGATGCATCAACTCATACACAATACCCCCCCCCCCCCCTCACGCTCCTTACTCTGTCGTTTCTGGAATGTAATTTCCATGAAATTATTATCGATGGACAACGATGAGAATGGCTAGATACATTTTCGTGTGACCACTCGTCTCTGCTCAACCGTTTGTCAAATTGAAGTGTACGGAATGTTCAGTCCGTCTATTTGAATAAAATGATATTAACATTAAAATTATTTAAATCATTTGAAATTCAATGTGGATACGCTATTTGCTCAAATGAATATATGGTGTGCTGTCCGCAACTTTGATATGTGTGTGCATGCACTTTGTTCGTATGAATCATATCCATTCCGGACAGTTTTGTTTGCCGAAAACATCGAAGTTTACATACAGTTGGTACGATGGATCACATTCATGAAAGCATTCACAGCCGACGGCTTGTGTTCCAACAATCCAACTAAATAATTCCACATGCATTTTCAAAAATGCAATATATTAATTAGGCATTTTGATACACAGTCAAAATATAGTCAAATTGTCGTTGCTGGTGTATCATCCAATATGTCCAATTATCGCATTTGACTTTTTATTTTGAAGTAAATTTTGTGATCGATGTAATACAGCCATTCAATCCAACAGCTGTTGTCACACGTAACTAATAACATGATTCATGATTTGGTTGATCAGAATTTTTTTTTTTTTTTTTTTTTTTGGTGTTTGAGCACCTAATACATGCCAGTTGAAATTGATTAGTATTTTTGTGTGGCTTTCTAAAAAGAAAATTTCAGTTCACAATAAAGAGCTTTCGTTCAGCACACAATTTACTCTTGGCATATAAACCGTTGAAAGCGACACACCCTCATGCATTATGCTCGCGTGTAAGTTGCACTAGTTTCACAACTTGCTTTTTCCCGGCTTAATTGCCTAAATCTATATTTTTAATGGTCATTTAAATCTTTCACTAATTTGCGGTTATAAAATCACAAAATAAAAAAAGAACTGTAACCTTTGCGCATTTACATTAGCACAAGAAATTTATGACGATATTTAATTTTCAAAAATAATATTAAGCTCAATTCAAATTTTTCGTTCATATAATTCGGTGCTCCATCTCTCTGTTTTAATTAGAAAATGAAGAAATTTTAATTGCCATCCATAAAAAACGTTAACGCTTTTGTAAGCAGAACAATCCTTCCCCTTTCCAATGGATATATTATTTGTTATTTTGATTTTCTTTTATATGTCGATCGAAAAAGCAAAGTGTTATTTTTCTTTCCACCACTATATGATTTCTTCTGTGTTCACAAGTGAGAAACAGCTCAGCTGAAACAACACACGCTACGCTACGATGAAAATAATAATATTAAGGAAAAAAAAATAATCGCATTCAATAGGAAAGCGCGTGTCAAACGTACCGTTCTAACGAGGTCTTTCAGTTGGTTTAGTTGCGTGACATGTTCATTTAGAACAATCGTCGAAGTTGGTTCATTTCATTTTTTTTTTTTATCGAATTCCAATTCCACCACCGTACATGCATATTCATGACAGATCGGGTGTGCCCCAACACTTTTTTCAATTCACTTAACCCACATCCATTCTATATAGTTGAACTCATTCATAGCCCTCGAAAATCACACTAGAAATTCCGTGATTCACTGAGCGCAAATATTCGCGAAACTGTTTTCACGCACGTATTCTTGCACACACTCAAGTAGCAACAAACACTCTTGAGTGTGTTGTTTTTAAATTTGTTGACGCTTGATTTCGCTTAAAAGTATGCGTTGATTTATTGACTGAAATGCATGGTGTGGCAATTAAAATGGCACGCTTCTTCCATCTTCACAGCTTACGTTATCTGCCATAAGATTGTAAAGATAAACGTTTTCTGTAGTTGGTGTCATCGCAGATAGTGGAAGATATGATTGATAACACAAAAACTTAAATGCGATATCATAATTCATGACGATTGTAATCAATCAAATGCACACCGTCTTCAGATTAGTGTTTACGTGAACACATTTTTTACCCGCATCTATGACATCAAGCTCAATCTCACTTGCGATTATACTGACGCACCGATATGATCTAAACAATTGATTGCAAATTGATTTCGAACGTTTTTTTTTTCTCTTTCCTTTCGATTTTTGGCGGAAGTAGATGACACAAACATTTTTTTTTTTTGGATCTATAAATCTTTCCAAAGCAATCGATAGTCATAAATAAAATTATTAATTTTTGTCATAAATGACATTTTTACTCAATAAGTTTAATTGTTCGAATTTGAAGAGTATTGACGTACAATCGAAAAATGTCCGGTTTCTATAGAAAATATTTCAACGAATGTTGACGCAATAAACATGAACAGGTTTTATAAAACCATAAATTTAACAGAGTGACTGAACTCTAAACGTTCATTTCTGCGCAGCTGGAAGGTTTCAAGCTCTCATCACTATCGACTCATGCTACTGGCGAGCACTTTATTGTCATTCGCATGTAGATGAAATTACACATGTCTGCAATATACATACTTGAATCGTTTCATTGTCGATGGCTTTGACTCGAGTGTGGTTATAAAAATAGCCTGGCAACGAAATATTGGGTTTGCCAAAAGCATTTGCAATAAAACTTAAAATTTCATTTGAATAAACTAAATCGGTATTCCATTAAATGCGTCACATAATGCTATAGTCATTTCGAAGAATTTCGTATATTGATTGTGCTGCAAAAGTGATTAACATTGAAATTTTCTCGTTCAAGATGGAGAAAATTTAGCAGCGTGCACATGAATACGCCATAATGAAAGGAAAAGGAAACTAATGGAAATGCAATATATAAATTCGAATGCATTATTGGAATAAAATCTCAACGGGCTCTCCACAGGAAAGAGAGAAACTGTTCGAAAATCGGAGCAATGCTCCAGCAAAAGCAAAACTACAAATGAACAATGCTGATCAAAAGGCTTCAATCACTTTGATTCGACTTTTGTTGGATGATGGTGGTATGCTGTCGTTGTACCGTTGCGATTATGTTGCAACTCGTGGCTGCCGTCAAAGCATATTCCACTACCAATATTGAAATTTCTCTGGAGCTTTTTCAAACATTTCATATGATTCTTCGTTTTAGTCTTGTGTTAGCATGGGTAAGTGCGAGCGAGCACCCTCACTGCACTGTCGTTCTATGAGTGGTTGCTTCTCTGCACTTTCATGAGAAGATGTTTAATTTATTGCTGGCGAAAGATTTTTCATTCAATTCGTGCAAACGGAGCTTGCTGCACATCTACATTGTACATTGTATATGTGAGGGGGCCAAAATGCATACACACATATGCATTCGTTGGCCTCAAATGCAAACGGCGTTCCTTATATTTACATCGATATAATGAAATGGATATGAAGCACGTACGTAAACGGCACGACCAAATCGATAAGCGAAATCGAACCGAAAACCCATTTCCAATCTCTCTTCCTCTCTCTGCTCCTTTTCTTCTTTCCTTCACAGTAGGTCTCGCTCTGGTCCTGGTTCTCGTTCTTCCAAACAATTTCAGTAAAACCATTTATTGGCAGAGAGTTATTCAATTTTTGACTGTTGCAACAATCTTATTCCATTTGTATATGAATATCGTTTCTCTCGTTTGTGCTCCCACTTTTTTGCTTATGGTTTTTTGGGATATTATATTCACTTCATCGTTTTCTTAACTTGTGCATTGTGATTCGCTTTGGCTTGTGCTACTGCAGCTTATCGCCAACACACATGCGAATTAGAACTTTGCATACAAATTAGTTTAGAATAGAAATTACTTTCGAAATAATATTGCTATCGCTGATATTTCAACGATAGCTTTGGGTATATAGAAAACTGCATCCTATACTCCAACGATCCTCCACATTTAACGCTAATGACACTTCTTCAATCGCTAAATTGAATGTGAAATCGAAAAATGGAAGGGGTCAGAAGAGCGAAGGAAAAATGGAGAAAAAAATGTTATACTTTTCATTTGGCACGTTCGTTGAGTGGGATTGTTCCATTTTTCTTCGTCATCTTCGCAAGAGAAAAGGAACAAATAAACTAAAATAAAGAGGCAAAGGTTTGATTGAAGTTGGATTCATACAAGTGCATTTAATTGACGTTCTTTTGGGCATACGACATGTGTTTCCTACGATTATTGTTCTGTTTGTGATTGAGGAGTTGAAAATATTTTTAGACTTATGCAAAGACTATTAACGGTTACGAAAGCACAGAAAACAACAACCACAACTCTCTCTCTCTCTCTCTCTCTCTCTCTCTCTCTCTCTCTCTCCCTCTCTCTCTTTCTCTCTCTCTGTATGTGTGTCCCTCTGTCTCTTGCTCCTCTTCCGTTGGTGACAAATACAAATCTGAACTTTTGCTCAGCATAATATCGAATCACAACCTACACAGCGTACAATGGCATTAAATGATTTTTATGACGCAATTGCCGAGAAAATTTCAATTTCTTCCCTTCGCATCATTTTTAATTCAAGCCCGGCAATAACATTATTTGAAAATACAGTGCTTCTGGAACGAGCATTCATTTCGTGTGTTTTTTTTTTATTCTGCATCCTTGCGTCTTCCTCCTTTTTCATTTCATTGCACAGCATTTTTCGTTCCCAAATTAAATTTCCTTTCTTTATGGATCGTGTTTTTCGTATCTTGTTTTTGTGTTCATCAAATCTCATTCATATGAAATTGAATCGCAAGCAATGAGCAAGTGAACTCACACAAGCATCGTTTAATTATTAACTAAAATCCATTTTCATGTTTACGTCTTCACCCACTGAACACAAAAACAATCATACTCAACTTTCATACTCAAATACACAATTCGTAAGCGTTCGTTTAAAGTTGTTATTCGTGTGAACTGTATAAAGTCATCGATGATTTCGTGTGCTATCAAATTTATTGTCAATTTATTTGTAAGATTTTTTTCTCTTTTTTTTTTTGATTTCTTATACAGAAAAAATCAATGAACACCGGCCAAAACATGCAAACGACAACAGATAACACCAATGATGAAGACAACACATCCCATGGTGGTTGGAAAAATCCAATCGAGTTCTTATTTGCCTGCATAAGCTATGCAATCGGACTGGGGAATGTCTGGCGTTTTCCCTACTTGGCGTATCGAAACGGGGGAGGTGAGTTGAACACACATACACACACTTATCACACAACTACATATATATATATATATATATCGAATGAAGAGAGACGTTCACATAAAAAATAAATTGCGGCCGCAACAAAGACAACGCGACACTGGCACTGTGTAACGGTCACATGTAAAATGTATCAGTTCGATTATCTCGGAATTATAGTCGAACGTAAAATTGAGCGAAACGAAGAAAAAGACAACAACAACAAAAAATGCGAAGAAGCAACGAAGAAAATTTAAATATTTATTGTGATTGCAGTGTTGAGCAGTTTTAACTCGTGTTTTTTTTTTTTTTTTTGGCTATCACAGCAATTGTAAACATCACAAACACTAAAAGTGCTGGTGTGTGTGTTTATTGACGAAGCGGCATTCTTGGCGCATTCCTCTTCCTTCTATACTTCTCCATCGTCTTGAATGCCATAAACTGGTTCATACGGTTTATTTGTTAGATTTAACATAAAACAAAGGATGCCCGCTTTTATATGCGGATTGTTCATTTCAAGTAAAGCGCGTTGTTAACATTTACTTCGATCCATTTTTTTATAATCAAACAAATGAAATGACACGATGTGATTACCTCCCGATTTTTCCCCTACGATTTTTTGTCTCTCTTTTATGCTATAATTTAAAGATGTAGCACTTTAGAAAAATATAATTTAATTTTTACGATTGGTCTCGCCTTGGCCATTAAACTGCTCTTTCACACTCTGGCCATGCTTTCGATTTGCCGTGTAAACACCGTGTTTCACTGTGTTTATCTGGTGAAACGAATGAAGAAAACAAAAAACCAAAAAAGGCGAATCAAGAGGAATAAAAGAAGAAAGCACGGAAAGATCTGGTGCAATTTTCGTTTGTCAAGACAATGATCTCTTATTCTCCCTCTTCTGCTCTCCTACTTCTCAGCGGCAGACTGACTTTTTAATAGCTTTGCTGACATTATCCAGGTTATACATAAGACCCAACTATTTATGGTGAATGTACATTTGCATACAACAATGATCGCGTGTTTCGGTTGAAAGCATTCGCTTGCGCCCCTCCAACGCTATCATCATAATTTCGTTTTGAATACACAGTGTATGGTATATAAATGTATATTAAAAAAAAGAGAAGAAACTAGCACTGGATACCGTATAAAGCTCTGTAATCAAAGGTCATAATTTTATGAAGTGCTTAAAACAGTAAGAGAGATAAGACACAATGATACATGCTGTCGTTGTACACGTTCCGTGCGCGCACGCCGCTCTTTTGCAATCCTCCGTGTTTCCGTCCATTGTTTTGTTGCTTTTGCTGATGATATGGTTGCTTTCATCTTAAGGTGTAATGCTAATGGAATATAACCCTGAATACACAGCAGTCAGGTGAACATCCACCAAATAACAATCAACGAAAACACTGAAACTCATAATTTTTCATCTGACCTAATATCTACATTGATGATGTTTTATATGTGTCGTCTTTTTTTCTTGTTCTTTTTCCTCACGGTCGGTCGGTTGGTGTGTGTATGTGTACGCACGAGCAGGAGCATTTTTGGTGCCATATATCTTGATGGTGTTTGTAATTGGTATACCGATATTTTTCTCGGAATTATTTGTGGGTCAGTACAGTGGATTAGGTCCAAATCAAGCATATGAATATTTAGCACCCTTCTTCCACGGTAAGTACAACTAAATGTAACTAGTTAATAGTGAAATAAAGCAAGATGCTAATGCTGAGTCTATGTATATAATGCACAGCAAACACAAAAACAAAAAGATAAATTACACAAAACTTTACACCTTGAGTGGCAGGTTATTCTTCGGATAGAAACAACCATTACACAAAAAACCATCAAAAAAGCAATATACTGACTTCCGTGCGGTTGTTTATTCCAGCAGTTATCCGCTCAGTGGGCTGTTCCTCCAAAAATTATTTGACCAACGAGAAAATGGCAAACAAACCATTTATTATTTGGTTGGAGTGGAAAAAGCGAAAAAACGACATCACTTCGTGTTTCAATCCTTTTTTTTACATTACTCGAAAATATTAACAAATTTATTCGATTTTTTTTTTCCTTATTATTTCTGATTTGGAACGCGACTTGTTGGCTTAAGATTTTGTAGAAAAATATTTCGATTTAATCATTTTCTTCGCGAATTGAATTTTTACTTAATACATGTAAATTGTTAGGAAACTGAGATTACTTAAAGCCGTGCGAATTTTCGAAGAAAGAGACCTCCATTTTCCTAGCATATTGCTTGCGTATCCTTGTTTTTGCTCAAGTTCTTGTTGACTTTGTGTGCAATGAAAACAATATGTACATGGCGTCTACGCAATGAGCATCGAAACGCTGATGAAATGCGCGGTATGTCGGAAGTGCTTGATTCGGGGCGCACAAAACCAACAGAAGAAATATGATAGCAAAAAGTACATGTACAAAAATAACTAACAAACAACAAGCAACGCGATCTACTATTTTAATGTGCCCACCAAAGTCGGCAACAGCAGTCAACTAAATAAGAATGAGAATGAGAATGCAAAAGCCAATAACGTATAACATCATAAGGATAAGACACGCAAAGACAATAATAATAAATATCAATTTTCTGTGTGTATTTCAGGTTTGGGATATTGTACATTGGTTGTCATTACATTTGTCACCATTTACTACATGGTTATTATATCTTGGATTGTATTTTACTTTGTTGCGTCATTTTCACCAAAACTCGGCTGGGGCTACTGTGATCACGAATACAATTCCAATGGTAAGTGTGACTGAAACCATTTCTCATTTTCTTCATTTGTTCAATATCCGATTTTCTTTTGACGCCATTTCATTACTAGTCATTCTTTACTGACCGACACCTAAACGTGTAAGGCTGTGCGGCGTGGCGTGTATACAAAATATCAAACACGGCCGCTGTTTGCGCATCCGGTCGTTTTACCGGACTACAAGTGAACATTACATGTAATGCACCTCGTGGTGTTGCCTTCAACCAAATCCGTGCTCATTAATACCGGTTTAATTGATAATTTATACGTTTCGAAGAAATAAAATGCGTGTCAAAGAGCATATTTTGGCCTTTCATCCCTATCGCATCATGTTCACTGCGCTAACATTCATTTGGTTGCAACAGCAAAACGGTCAACGACAACGGAAATATCCACCTCGAAATGTGCAACCCAAATAGGATGAATGGACCAACTTGATTGATTTTCTCAAACTTCATCCCTTTTACGTTTCTCTTGATCTGTCAATGAGTTCAATCAGTATCATTGATTTTCAATCAGTTTTATTTTTGCCATTTTCCACCCCTTTTTGCCTGCAAATACCATCGAACAGCATTTCTCGAACAATTGAATCAATTTCAATGTTGTTTTTTTTTCAGATTGCTACAGCAGCTTAGAAGATAACAATTGTTCAAAGAACGGTACCGAACATGACATGATATATTATAACAAAACGTGTACGAGCATCGCATCGATTTGCGGAAATAATTCCTATCAGGGAATAAATGCATCCTACTGTCTTAATACAGCAACTAATCAACCGGTACCGATACTAAATGTGATCAACAGAACGCTGGCATCCGAAGAGTACTATTAGTGAGTATAAAAGTTGAAGCTTTTATTCGTATTCTCTATCATCGATAAATATAATATGTTTGTGTATTTGCGCAAGCATTTACATGTTCGAGATTCGTTTATTGCCATTCCCTCGCCTCATATAGCTTCAAAAGATTTAATGCTAAAAACTTTTAATAAGTTTCAAATGAGTGTGATTTTTCGTTAAGTGTTTGGGTTTGCTTTAATCTTGTCGAATTTCGTAGCGAAACAGACAGTCAGACAGAGGCGGAGAGAGACACAAAGAGAGCGAGAGAGTGCGAGTAGAAGTAAGAGATATAAATCCACTCGAACAAAACTCGATGACATAAAATCACTAGTGCATTTTCAGTGTAAACATACAGCTTATCCATAATACATATGGCATTTTCATCACTTATAATAACAATTTCGGGTAGATAGTCCGTTTGAAAAATTATTTATAGCATGTACATTTCGGTCGACACATCGAAAATTACAGCGAAAATCAGTTCCAATTCAGTTTCATTTTCTCCAGTGTATTTCAGCGTTGGGATTGTTTACGATGCTTTTTTCTGGATGTGCATGTGCATGTGTTTTTGTGTTTATCTTGTCTTCGTCGCTTTTTCTGACTTTATTAGATTGATTCGATTGTCGATTGTCAATTGTCGATTGTCGATTGCGACTCGGGATTTCTCAGTCATATATATACATACAAATATGTATTGTATATACACACGGTAGCAACATAAATGGCAAAATTTAATGCTTTGTCTCACTTGTTCTGTTCACACTGCTTCGAATTCAGTTCAGTCAATATTTCGATCCAACTGCAGCCACTGCATTTCAATCCAATTGTCGAAACGAATGAAATGAACACCGAACACTGAACAGAGTGTGCATAATGCCGGATTGCGGATATAATAAACTTTTATGTTTATTGTATTCTTTTCAATTCATTTTCGAGATTTTATTTAAAAGCTAAGCTTCAAGCGACAATGACGACCATGTAAAATGAGACGGTATTGCGGTAGAGCAACGGAGATTAGGAAATGAGGAAAAAGTGAACGGAAATTCTTTGTGGAACGATCGAGTGGATTCGACCGTAACACAAAAGCACACAGAGAGTCAGAGAGAGAGAGAGATAGAGAGAGAGAGAGAGAGAGAGAAGGGAGCTATTGAGAAAGAGAACGAACGAGGACAAAAAGCAACGAAATCACGTTTTCAGAATCTCTAATGATGCAAATCAACTGCAATATTTGTTTTACTCAACGATATTCGCCAAATCGTCTGATAGTATAACTGTGCATTAAGACGACAGATCGGGTGTTCAGTGTTTGTGCGCGCGCGTGTCTTTGTTGCCAAAGAAATGGCATGAAAGAAGGGTATGCAGTGTTTCTGATTTGGAGCCGGGCGACTGAATATTTTATCAGTCATTATACACATTTATAGTTGAATTAGAAAACTATGGAATCATTGACGTTGTCTACAAACGATTATACTTTGCACAGCCGCCTATTACAAACCGAAACGAAAACAATGCATTACTGAATGGATGCTAGAGTCTTGTTTGTTTTATTTGATTTCATGTGTGTGTATCCGGTGTCTCTTCTCCTCTCTATGTACTTAATCTGATCGTTGTCTGTTCGTTTCAATGCCCCATTAGTTTAGTTTGCATATTGGATCTGAATAAGCGCCTGGTTTTGCCATGCTCGATGGCTTGAACAACGAGCGAGAGAGAAGCTTAAGTTTCATGAAGAGGTCAAATTCATATGCATATTTGGTGAAATTGTTTTTGTCATGGAAATTTTATCACATTTCCCTTGTCTCATTTCATGCGCTCTTTTATCATCCACTATTCCAAGCACTATATAGATACGCAAGCAGTTGCCGCTTCGTCCTCAGTGCCAACCAGCTCTTGTCACACACACACATGCACTCTCTCTCTCTCTCTCTCTCTCTCTCTCTCTTTCTCTCAGAACATGCATGCAAATATTGCAGAAGCGCATAGAATGCGTTTGCACCCATGAAAATTGGGCATTTTAGAAACAACAATTTCTAGTGTCCATTTTTCTTCATTATCAAAATAAAAGAATTTGGCTATAGTCTAGCTGCTTTAATACTATTTTATGTGTAATTTTGATTTTATACACAGTGTGTATTACACAAACATGGAAATTTGTTGCTTATTACATCCATTTCATTTCATCGAAATGTAAACGATTCTAGGGTTGTTACGGACAAAAAGATATGGGTGCATTGTGCACAGCTTTAATAGCTTCTAAAATTGTTACTTTTATTTTAATATCAACACGAATTTGTTTGATGAAATATTTTGACGTGTACGTAGATATCGGCCATATGTTCAAAAGGCTATATGAACAGTTTATTTCTTTTATTTTTTCCTTTTCATTCTTTAATTGTAAAAAGATGGCTTTGGAGTTTTTATTCCCCAATTCATATTCATTCAAGAACGTTTTCCGAGGTGGATGAAAAATGAGCTTCAACATGCGTATGCATAAGAGATGTGCTGAATATACATAAAAACATAAAATTTGATTTGTTGACATTTTTCCTGAAAATTTTATTGCTTGCCGTATACAGAAGAGCGTATGGATGTAGCGTTTGCGAGAGAAAACACACCATAATGTCTGCTCGTAACAGATTGCGAGTAGAAATAATTTGAGCTAATATCTTAGGAGTATTCTTAATAAGATAGATATTATGCTTGTTTGTTTCTCGTTTCGGTTAAATAAATAACCCATCTTCATGAAGACGAACGAAACAAATCGCAGTGCAAACATTTCTCTACATGACGACGACGACGACGACGACGACGACTGTGTATGCGATGCTCGCGTTCACATATTGTGTGCATATATGCACAAAAATTTAACGATGAAAACCGATTGTGAACAACCGAATGAAAGTGAGCATAATTTCAAGGTGGAAGAACTAATGTGTGGAACATATACAGATGATGAAAACAACAACAAAAAAAGAACTGTGTGTTTTCAACAGTGAGCTAGTAGTGAGAGAGAGAGAGAGAGAGAGAGAGAGAGAGAGAGAGAGAGAGAGAGAGAAAGACTAGCAGTGAGAAATGCGAGAGTCGTTCTGACAGAGAATAAGAAATTGGCAAGAGCTTGATTCAGTGTGCAGATGGAATTCGCATTATACACGTGAATGCAAGCACGCAAATATCACAATCACAGTGCACATGAGCCATATATACAATCAACCCAACAACATTCACCATATGTCTTTAGGCTGATTTATTATATTTAATATAGCTCCATCCAACTCTTCTTCTGCCAGTACCATCGCTCTTTTTGTATGCACATTTCAGGTCGGTCGAACATTTATGTTGTTGAACACAAAAACGACCGAACGGTGAAAAGGAGAAAAAAAAATATTTTCAAAGGAAAATATTACAAAAACGTGGTCTGTTTTATGATAAGGATTAGAAAGATAGAAAATGAAATAAAAAAAAATGTTAGAAACTCCTTCTCTCTCTAACTCACTCACTCACTCATTTACGTATTAAAATTTATACACAGAAAATACAAATAAAAGCATTTTCGATGTGTTGTCGTGCACAATGGGGGGGGGGACGTTCAATTTAAAGGCGCAAGAGATAGATTAAAGAAATGGAAAAAGAAACCCGACTTCTTTTCCCATTCAATGCCATGGAATCATATGAATGTGTGCGGCTGATTCACGAAAATGCTGTTTGTAAAATAGATGTGCTTAGGAATATAAGGGAGGAGTGGGGTAGCGGCAGAGTCGGGGGTGGCGTCCGTCGAAAGGTATCAGTCGTCTAAAATGCGTGCACATGAAATATAATACAAAAGAGTAGTATCAAATGAAAAGTCACGCGTTTTCGTATTTTCTTCATGCCACAACAATTTCATGTATATACATATTTATATTTAATGCCATCGGCTAATGTTATGTTACCAGTTTAACCTTGCTAACGTAATATTTTCAATGAAAGAAAGACATATAAAATGACACACAGACACCCACAACAAGTGGAGCTCATCGTAACAACTTGTCCTTTGACTTGTTTTTCTCAATGTGTGTGTGGGTATGTTTTATTGAAATTTTCTTTTCAACACCATTATCGTTTCGTCTCTTTACAGCGAAAATGTTTTGGGAATTGGAGATGCAAGCTTTTCTGATTTCGGCTATCCACGATGGCAATTGGTGATATGCTTGGCATTTGGATGGCTTATTGCATTTCTGTGCCTATCCAAGGGTATTAAAAGCGCCGGTAAGACTGTGTTCTTCATGGTGATCTTCCCATATGTCATCCTAACCGCCTTACTGGTGAGTCAAAATTAAACTAATCAATATTTTATCGATTAAAATTTGATCGACAATTTGTGATTACTCTATTGCTTTTGAACATATAAAATATTCTACATATTAGATTCGAAGTATGACTTTGGAGGGCGCCATGGATGGAGTCATGTTTTATATAAGGCCCAAATGGTCGAAGATCTTAGAGGCTCGTGTGTGGGGTGATGCAGCATCACAAATATTCTATTCATTTGGTCTCGGATGTAATTCATTGGTCACATTCGCTTCATACAGTAGTGTACGTATAATTTGTAACCAATAGATTCGAATATATGTAACCGTTTCTATGAACGCGTTATGCATAACCTAGTTTGATTTGAGTGCCATATTTCTCTAACTTAAGATTAATGATAAATAATATTTCTTCCTAGTTTAAGAATAATCTTCACACCGACACCATAGTTGTGTCGTTTATGAATGTATTTACGGCTATATTTTGTGGATTCGCTGTGTTTTCCATGCTTGGATTCATGGCCAATAGTCTCGGTATTGGCGTCGATAGCGTTGTACAAGATGGTCCAGGTTTAGCGTTCATCGGTATGATTCATATAAGATTTGATTTCTCTTTGTGTTTGTGTGCGTGTGCGTATTTTATGCACTAAAATATATTTATATATTTCATACAATTGTAGCATATCCGGAAGCCATCCTACAAATGCCACTGAAACATTTATGGGCCGTTTTATTCTTTTTCATGATGTTCGTGCTTGGAATGGGTTCACAGTTTGGTGGTATTGAAGCATTGTGTTTGGCAATCACGGAAAAATGGCCACATCTGGTCGATCATCATTGGAGAGTTACAGCTGGTGTTTGTATTGCATGCTTTCTAGCTGGCATTCCAATGCTTTGTAATGGAGGCATATATATATTTACATTATTAGAATGGCATACAGCATCGTGGGCAATCCTTTTGCTTGGCATTGCCGAGGTGAGTTAAATCCATTTTCCATATTTGATTTATTCAAAAATATTTATTCGAAAAATACCTTAATTTCTTGACGCAAAGCGATTTTATCGATCCTATAAATTTGGTATTGTTTGCATGATGGCAATAAAGGCATGTTCCGATTTCGTTGTATCAGTTGTTAATTGACAATTTGCACACACATGCACACATACACAATTGCAATACGATTCGCATATATGCAGTAGTAATGCGCAATACCATATTCCATGGTCTTATTTTCACATTGTTCACCCCATTCGCTTTGAATCGCTCTCTCTCGCTCAGTCACTCACTATGTGTTTCTCCAATTGCTAGTTTTTTTTTATTCGTTTTTATTTTGTATTTGTTTACCTTGCCCATTGTACAGGTTGTCGTACTCTCTTGGGTATACGGAATTGATCGTACATTTGATAACTTATCACAAATGAATGTGCGATTAACCGGCTTTGTTCGAGCTTACTGGTGGTGTGCATTGATGTTTGTGACGCCGATCGCCTCATTCGTAAGTATAATAATATCTCGAACCTTCCTACAACAAAACCACAAATGATAAAATTCAGAACAGTAATACAATGGGTTTCATCTTGTTTACATGAATTCTAATTGCTGATGCGTTTCAAGCCATTGTTCTCTGGTAGTATAATTTTACTGAAGAGAGAAATATAAAATGGTATATATTCTTTTAATTTCGACGAATACACTCTCGGCAGTTGAATGCAATCCAATTACATGAAGACATGTGTATAGTTAACAATCGACTTTATTACTTGGGCTATTGTCGTAACATGAGCGCATTTGGCTCAGTTGAGTCAATGGCCACCGTCTCCAATTAAACTACAATGTAATCATAAACTTGCAAGAATATATGCAATTTTATTTAAGAAAAGCCCACACCATATAGCGTGATTGGATGGAAATTGAATTGAAACAATACTTGTCTTTAATTTATCATTATCATCGTTGACAGAGCATCACATTTCTGATAATTATCGGTTAAAATTGACTCAATAAATGACATAGTGTTTATGTAAAAAAGCGGATTTCTTATTGTGTTTGTAGATAACCAGCGTATCGCCAATAATTATAGTTATTGACGCATTTTTTAGCACTACATGAAATGTAGAGCTACTAATCTGCTTTTATTTTCCTAGATAATTTTTGAGTGTTGAAACAAATTATGGTGAATTTGAGTTTTATGCTCATATTATTCATTTAATTTAAACCAAAGGCAGTATATTTCAAAAAAATTTATTAAATATAAACGGCACCAGTTCATGTGCTGAAAAGGAACAAAATAAAATCCTGAAATAAATATTTTAGTTCAAAGTTACTTTGATGAAATACATTTCATGTAGTGCGCCAAAAAATAGTTTGTTGTGAAACAACAAAATAGATTAATGCCCGTTGTAAGTGGTTCGGATTTAATTAAATCCAAAGATTTAAT